TAGCAATTAATATACAGCAGATCGAGTACAATAAGGACTTTGAGATTGCACTGAAACGGTACAGTTCTACAAAAGGTGCATTCTACACGTTTCTACGAACTCTAACGTTTTTTATTTTTATTTTTTATGTAATGCAATATAATATATATTATTACCTTTTTTGAGTCTTCGCGAACAATAGTACGTCTGATGGGCGTCCAACGTGCTCAGCGAACTGAATCGTATGCCACACGGGTTGCAAATGAATATTTGAATTGCTGTCAACAAATACGCCACAGATATAATAAGATGGCATGAAATAATGGTTTATGATAGTACCTAATGATAATAATAATAATCATAACAATAATCGTAATAATGATAAAGAATAATCATCATACACAGGTATCTGTTACAACCTAACAGAGGAAGTTTATATTTTAACATGTTGAGAAGGATAGTTACTTTTTTAATTATATTATCTGTAGGTAAATTAGCCATTTCACCTCAAAAACGATTAAGCATCACAAACATGGCTATCCATACCGCCGTAGAGCATAATATTATATTATACGCATGCGCATGCCTATATACATTCGGAATGCAACACTTGTCTTGCAGTAATTCTAAATTTTTTTTTATTATTCTTATAATTCATACTGTCGGCCGATGTTCGGGAATTTGAAAATAACTTCTATATACTATATGATATCAATATGTTCACAAAAAAATCTAAATTTTAACTGTTATTTTTATTGTAAATTCTAATCGAGYACTTAGTGTGGAGTAGGTATATATCACCAATTCGCTGACTAATTGTAAAAACAATTAGTTAAGAATACGATATATCACTTCGATAAAAAAAAATAATAAAAAATTCGACCTAGAACATTAGTGTACCGGGTTAGATAGACATGTTTATAATAATATGTATATTTATCAGTACAGATTTTTTAAATATAATATTCTGTGTACTTGACCTAAGTATCGTATTACTCTATAAATGCATATAGATATAGATACTAGATAGGTACATATTTAAGATTTTAAAATATGTAAATATTAGCATTCATAAATAGGCTGACAGCATTTGG